GACCATCCGAGCCGAACCGAGCGAGGGCGAATGGAGCCGAGCGCCGGGCACCTGCCTGCGCGCCCCGTGTAGGCAGCGCTGCGGGCCGGGCCCAGCGGCCGCTCCTCCCCGCCCTCCTCTCCTGGCTGCCATGCCCCCTGGCTGCCGCGCTGACCGGGGCAGTCTGGTCAGGTCTGTTAGGAAACACACTGAGCACTTTCATCTAGATTAAGGGCTTCCCGTCCGCCTGTTTCTTTCTCTTTCGAAAGTGGAAAAGATTTAGAGGTTTGTCACCCACATATTTTGCCGCTCCCCCCTTTTTTACTGTTTAAATGCACCCAGCATTAAATAAAATTTAATGCAGCGTAAAAAGAAAAAGGTTTCCACGTACGGAGTTATTTATACTCAACAAACAGGACATCTGTTTTTCTTTTCAAAAATCTGGGGTTTGAAGTTCTTAATTTTATCCAGAGTCTCTATCAAAGCTCCGAGATTTCTTTTTTGTTCTTGGAGAGCGATCCTTACAGTGAACCGCAAAGAAAGTTGGTGACCAGAAGGGTCAGTTAAACATAAAGAAAAGAAAAGAAAAGAAAAGAAAAGAAAGTTTTTTAAAAATCAGAGTGCTGAGATACCGTGTATCTCAACGCATGTCCCTGCATTTGGGGATTGCTAGGTTGTGCTCTAGGTACGCTGCTTAAACTGAAACACAGAGGCACAGAGAGGAAGGGAGAAGCTCAGTCGGACTCTCCTGAAAAGTTCATGGTTGTGGTTGTCAGCATCTCCCCTGGACACAGCAGCAGGTGCTGGCGGTGCCTTCTTGATCCTAAGGGCTGAATATTCCTCTGTTCCGCTGCTCATTTTTTTTTTATTCTGGAGGCAAGTGTAGGCACTTGCCTACACTCATGGCCGAGAGGCACTGACTCCCCTCTCCCAAAACCGCGGCGATCGTCACGATCGTGCCGTTGCGGGTTACACTGACGCACAGGTGGCTAGCGGTTTGGTAGCCGAGTTTAAGACGTGCTTTCCAAATTGAAGTGGCTCGTTACGGAGGCGACGGCCACGGCTGTGGGTGCAGGAGCGGCTGGCGGGGTGGGGAAGGGGCTGCGAGTTCCGTTGCCTGCACTGCTAGGACTCTTTGGGATGTAAGGCGATAACGGGCATCGTTGCACACTGGGATCAGCACTCTGGTGTAGGGAGTAAACTGCGACTCTCCTTTAAAGAAAATCCCTTTTATTCGCTTTAAAAAGGAGCGGGGGGTAACACTCTGGCATTCACCCAGCAAGGATGCAGATTAGCAAAGGCACCATCACCTCTGTTCTAGCTGTTTCTGTGCCGATTTTCCCTGTAGCAGCCTCTCTCTGTATTTTTCGCGTTTTATGCTGCTCAGTTAAGTACAAGCACTTGCCTTAGGTGAAGAGGAAACTGCAAAGGCTGAAGTCACGCTAAGAAACAAGGAACCCAAAGGGAGCTGGCATCCCAGAGTGGTTTGCACCAAAAACGCTGCTTGTTTTTCTACGACCATCTGAGATCAGAGAGGTCGTTTCCCTCTCCTTTAATCCCGAAAGTGTCACCATCAATCACGCAACTCTACCTCCAGTGACCCGAGCGGAAACGAAACATCCCAGCGGATCTGCTTAAAGTCCTCTGGGGATGCGGCTCGGTCAGTCCCCCTGCCTGCCAGAGTAACCACCACGACACCAGCATCTCAGACTGGTGCAGAGATTGGGGTCAGACAGACCACTCAGGGCTGTTTTCCAGTAGGGGGGCTGGTTTCACTACATACTCGCCCACCCCCTTGGGCTGCGCACCAGTGCCGCCGTCCTCACCAGCGCA